TACCCCGTAACTGAGTTGCAACCAGCATATGAAACGAGGTCAACAAACAGAAATTCCCTTTAAGAGTATTGTTTTGCTCGATACAGCAAACTGCAGAGCAACTAATTTCAGAAGAACCGTTTACCTGAGGACGAAAAACCAGTAAGTCGCAACAGCTAATCGATAGCTCCTGATCCCCCTGTTACCGTGGAATGACTTAAGCAGACAGTAAACTGCCGAGTATCCAGCAGCACCCTTGGGCAATGCAGGTGGTCTTGGCAAAGTGCCATCAATGTTGTCTGTCAGGATCGATTTGCAGCTGTCTTTTTAGGAGGGGCGGACAAGCGAAATTGTCTATCAGCATCCTGAGAAACGAGCTTTAACTGGGCCTAATAACTGCTCATCCATATGCAAGGTAAAAGTTTAGGGGACTGTGTTATTTTATTTAAGCTATGACAAAGTTCTACTTTTTTTTTTCTTTTTGTGTAAGACAACTTCATTCTTAGTTTTTAGAATTCTTAAATACAACCAATTCATCCAAATTTTGAAGAAACTTGATGTAAGCTCTGTCTACTGTATTACTATCTGGTATTAAGTGACCGCTTTCTTTCGTACACCACCATAAAGTCCGCCCTCCGAAAGGTGTGATACAAATGTGAATGTTATACAACTGGTGCATTTTCAATTCCATGCCACTTTCCTACTGCTGTTGCATTAATTTTTGCCTTGCTTCACCGATCTGAAACCATTTTAATAAAAAGAATAGAAATAACTTGACCATCCATATAGTGTATCATTTTTGGCTATCCGATCTCCGTTTTCAAGAAAATTGAAGTAAAACTTTCAAAGATTTTGCAAAATAAAATGTATCTACGGTGTAGGTCAACGAAAAAACCATCAGGAAAACTTAAAAATTTTTCACCATTTTACACACTGCATAAAAAGCTCTGTATCTTTAAGTGGATGATAATATAGTCGCGACTATGTAGATACTTTTGAACTGAGTAAGGGTGATAAAGAACTAGCAGTGGCAAGCAGCATAGTCTGCAAGTAAAAACGATTTGGACACTTAGGAGAAGAGGAGAAGAGCTACACATGGGACAAAGTGAGAAGCGAAGTTGTTCAACATTAGGTTCTTAGAAGGCAAAGAAGATACGAGCACGTTCTCCCAGAATTTTTTTGGATCCATCAGGTACACCGGGAGGCGGCATAAAGAGAAGAGGCAATTGAAATATTTTACCAAGGAGACAAGCGTTCCACTCCATTATTTTTAATTACAGTTGGAGTGGACTCACCAAATAACGTGCAAAAAACTGGAACTTTCTCAAGCTTCCACCAAATATTAATCACAACCGAAGTAGCAGCAGACTGGAAATGAAACACAATACGAATATACAGTCATCTAAACCTTTATTGGGAACTTGCGCGATCATGTAGCAGTGATATTACCAGACTAAAGAACTGCTTAAATGGTTAATGACGCCTAATGTCGCATAATTTATTCAATGTGATCACTTTTACTTAGCCAACTCTATGCATATTTACATTATCTCTCGTATTAGAAAAGACATAAGAAACTTCAGGCTTCATATGGCTGTGAAGTCATGGGATTTTTCACCACGAAACACAGTTCTTACAAACTCGCTAAGAGAACCGAGAGTTGACTAAATAAATCGGTAAAAGCCTACACCAACATAATCTGAGTTTTGCACTTTCTTCGCTTCTCCTTTTATGTTTACACTTCTGCTCCTCTTTTTGCAAAAAAACTTAGTCCATTCCTCTCAAAAATAAGAAACAGACGAGCTTCAGTGATCTTGCTCGTCCAGAACGACTCAAAAATAATGCATCGATCTAAAAGTCTTTAACAGTGGGAAACCCACTCGCGGACTGAGCTTACTCTTCGATCGGTGTTGGTTACAAACATCCACTGAGAACATGCACGCCATGAGAATTCAAGTACTGTTCCTCCCAACTTGACACTCCAAATACAAAACACTGCAACACTTTAAATCTAGTGATGCTGACAAAAAACGCCTGTTTTCTAGCCCTTCATTAAAGATTCAGAAAAGTCATTTAAATATTATTTAAGAGATTCTTCGCCGAGCAACAGTTTAAAATAATGTCACAGCAACGTAACTTCGTCTAAAAAGTTCAAAATTGAAGCGAGTAAATCCTGTAGTTGAGGTAGGGTCAGCGTCATAGAACAAACATAAAAAGTAACTTCAAGGATTGGATTCCGTGAGCCACTTCTCATAAAAATCGATAACGACCTGCAACTTGTTTCAAGTTGGAAAAAGAATCCAAGGACTTCAGAATAAAAAATGCAATAAGAATAAACTTGCTGGTTTTCTGAAGCATTCTTAATGAACCCAAATAAATAGATGGAAATAAGCGTTATCAAAAACAATTAATGATTACCTGTGGCCACATCTTGCTAATAACTTCGCTGGGTACGCACTCCATATTAATCTGATTCTTGTATTTCACAACATAAGAAAATGGGTGGTCTTCATGCGGTTCCTGGAATATAATTAAAATATCTAACGAGGAAGCTTGTAAGCACTGGAAAAAGGCAAAACTCAGCACGGAAAAGAAAAAAAATATTACAACTACTGTTAGGATGTACTGTGGAATAGCACCTTTTTGCATAAGACTCTTGGTTTCTAATACTTCACCTGTAAAATAATTTGGAAAAACCATAAGGAACTATTCAAAAAGTCAATAGAAGCTGAAAAATTTAAAACGAGCAAAAGGAAACATGAAATTAATTTCACATAAATGACAAGGTTCGTGACGGGACAGTTACGAAGTCCCTGCAAATGTTACTTCTTCTCGTAAAAAACATACGCTTGTTTGACAAATCCTTATTACAGCTGAGACTGCTGGCATAATCGTTCTTTTCTGTCATTTTAACATCCGCGGCTGAGGCAACTGACATCGCATTGTCTAAACTACCACTTTTGGGTTTCTCCGACTCTGTCTGCCGGTCTATTAACATGTTAGTCTTCTCGGAATTCTCCTGCTGGCTCTTTCGTATGCTGCTCTCCGCACTGACTTCTGGTCCATCAGTTTGCGTCTTGCTTTGTTCAGGACCATTTTGCTGCTCCTTCCAATTGTCACTTTGATCGCTGAAAATATGCGCTAGTAAAACATTGCTTTTACGTAGAATTGAAGTAATAAATAATAATAACTAACCATCCAGACTGCAACTGATACGCACCATTATCAAGTTCAAGAAACTCAATATAGTTTGAACACCGCTTAACTTTTGCTTTTACACCTTCTCTAAAACAGTAGTATTTAAGAGACTCACGGACAAAATCCTAAGTAAAAAGAATTTTACTGAACTAAAAAATAATGTTATCTGGTGCAGAACGTCATCACTGCCACCACTTACACTAGTCGTTTATTATAATGTAATCCCCACTATATTACTTCGTGAAAAGTAAAGTCAAAGAGGAGGTAACTATTAAAACGAACTAACACGTTCAAATCATCTCTTTTGCGGTTGATGCGGAAGTAGAATTCATCTATTAGATCCGGACAATCCTAAAATGAAAAAAATTATTTCAAAGAGCTACTAGATAAGGCCAAAATACGTTGACAAAAAAGAAAATAAAAGAATATCTGGAAAAAAATCATAAAATTCACAATTCACGATGAAAACAATAGATAATGAAAAACAACAGTAAGGAGCACGTGAATCTTTTCTTGTTAAAAAAAAATACCACACACAAGTCTATTTTGCTAAAAATGGCTGTGTATTACGGTTGTTCCACCTTCCCTCATTCTGTCTAAGCGAAATCCCTGTTTTTTACTCCAAATCAGTGTCCAGAAACTCCCCCATTGCTCTTTCAAACTAATTGTCATGAAAATGGAAGGAACGAGGGATACGGGAACAGAAAAAGGGGAAATAAAAACGGCACTAGAAAGTGAAACTAAAAATCACAAAATGTCTTTTACAAATTACAAAAAAAAAGTAGTAACGCTACCAATAACGATTTCAACCATACTTATTTCATCTTGTGCGTCAGTGTCTCCACTTCATATTGCACTTTAATAGCCATTTTTTCTAAATCACGCAATCTAAGAGCCTTCAACACACCCAAACTTCCCGAAAATCATCGCATCTTTGCTGCAGTAGTTCACCACCATAAATTTCTTCACATCGTATAAAAGTAACTACTTTTGCCCCTCCTTTTCAAAGCTTCTACTAATTAAACACAGTAAGAGGACTGATCCAAAAATTAAAAGGTGAAGAAGGTGACACAGTGACAGAAAGGCCAACCTTACCGATACTTCCAGTTTCGTTATCATTATGTGCCAAGATGAAACACATAGAATAAATGAAAAACAAAATTAATTGAAGTGCAGATTTGTAACACTAGTTGTGAGTCCAGTTTTTAGAAAACTGCTTGGTCTAAAAATTAGTGTCCTCTGTACTCTCCACCCCCGATGCTCTCTGTGTCCTAAGCTTTGATACCAGTCTCCTTGCCTGTATCTTATGTGATAACCGACTAGAAGAAAATTCGCCCTCATCTGAAGGAAAAAACCTTCTAAGGTGGGAATTCTCAAAAAAAGACAACGCAATTACTAGAAATAAAAAGGCAATAAAGAAAAGTGGTGCAAATGAAATAAAAAGATTCTACCGAAAAACCTTACCAAATTTGATTCTGGCTCCCAAGTATCATCTTCGCTAGAATACCCCTGCCATTTAAGAAGGAAATGACGTCTTCCCGTCGTTTCATTGATTCTTTCACCAATCACTCTTTCGACCACATAATTTTCACCTTCATTAACTTCCCCACCACCGCTCTCGTCCTTACTCTGCTGGTTTGAAGAAAGGTCTTTCTGACTATTACTTTTCTTCTGCGTCTTCTAATAAAAACAAAATTATTGAAGTCTTCAACCACTATGACTTCTTTCCAGAAAAATGCTGAGAAAATGCTCGAAGGATCAGTACTATGTGTCAAAAGCAGCAAGTACTTCAGCTTGATTAAATAAAAAATTAACCATTATATTGGTCAAAGCATCTGCAAAGCATTCTTCTGAAGTCATTAAAAAACTTCAAAACTTACAGAAAATGGTCGTCTCCTACCCATTCTCTGTACCAAAAATCGGTGTTCAACAAAATACGATTCTAAAAACAGAAACGCTACGGTCAGGTCATACTTTTGCGCTTCACGACTTCAATACAGAATGTAACCATCTCTGAGGGGAGTCCTCGTCATCACTGCCCTACATAGATACATAACATGGGATAATTTTTTACCAATAATTTTTTTTAATGTTCAGAGTAAAAACAATGCCAAAACAGAATTTTCATAGTTAGTAAATGCGCACACAAAATAGCTGGCGTAAAACTTCGAAAAAAGGTTTCTCTCTTTAATTTCTCAAACAACAAACACTTCAAAAAGTATCCAGCAAAAAAACTAAAAAAAAAAAATAAAAAGGAAAGAAAAAGCGTGAAAGACAGTTCCTTATCGATAAAATTACTACGTGCTCTCAGCAACTATCAAACTACTCTTTGAGGAAACCCTAAAGCCAGAATCGCATGATATGTTCATAAATTGATAGTTACCAAAGTGAGACGAAAACAGGATAGAAGACACCAAAAATAACATATAGGATGGAATCAAACACACCATGCAAATTCGGCCGGGTAAACACTGTAAGAGCCGAAAAACACCTCTGTTTTAAAGGAGGAAAATAAACGCTATTGTAGTTAAGTTCGCGCATCCCCAAATGCACGTTTTTTTACCATCAACCCATCCACAATTTTTTCATATAGCTTCTGGGTCCGGTCGGACATAAAAATAACAGTTTCAGGCTTCTCTATATGCCCCTTGCTAACTTTCTAACAGGTTAGTCGCTTCAACTTTGAAACTTCGAAGGTTCTGTAACAATATTTTAGATCAAAACCATGAACAACAAACAATAGTAAGTTAAAGTCGTGAAAAAGTTAAAAAGTAGGAGCATTAGATCAAACTCTCAAATTCCTGAACTGGAAGTGAACGCAAAAGGTCAAATCATTTCCTGCTAAGGTATGGAGAAAAAGAATTGAGATGACGAGAAGTTAATCATGGTTTAGACTATGAGAGCTCAAACCGGCAAGATGCCCAACCATCATTCGCTTCCGCCACTATACTTGAACTTCGCTTTGGTAATCTTCCAGCGAAATTGGCGCCAGACCAATATACACTCACGGAATCCCCATTTTACGTGATATTATTTTATATAGGAGGATTCAATCCTAATTTCCACTGAGTGGGAAAACGTTTTTGGCTGGAACGATTCCAGCAGAATTGGCAGTGTGCCACTATACTATATGGAGCCACCCGGAAGATACCGGAGAAACTCCGGAAAAAGTACCTCGAACTTCTTTGTCAAC